ACCAAGAACACAATGAAAATCACTCCAAAATGTTACAGGCATCTAATTCAGCCTGATGTGAGCACTGAGGGCCTGTGATACCTGGTGACTAACGGGAGGCCCTAATTCTCATCCAGAATTAGCAGTCTGGGTCACAGAGCAGCTCAGGTTCTTCATGAACTGGGAGATCTTGAATGGAAACCACCCCAAGGGAGAGCATCTTCACTTGAACAATTCTCTCTCTCACATGGCTGCTTCAGCACATCTCAGAGCAACTCAAAGGAAATGCAGAGAAGCTGAATGGCATTCCTGGGGGAAGCTTTGCCCCCCTCCCCATGCAGGTGTTCCAACTCTCAAACACAACAAACTGGAAGTCGTTTTAAAGCTTTTTCCTGCCTCTTTGAACAGAGCTGGAGGTGTAAAACTTTGAAATCAAGTAGACCTCAAAGGATCAGCAGTACTCAAGAAGGACAACTGGTCCTAAAGCTTAAAAGGCTCTTAATAGAAGAGAAAATGTATAAACACAAGACTCAAAGGAAATAATTTTCTTTGGGCTCTGATGCCCCTGCCCCAGCGTGGTGCTGAGGACTAGACCACAGCAAGCTTTGTAGTGCTTCAGAATTACAAAGGATTTTTGCCCACTTATATAGTAGAGATAAATAGGAGCTCTTCATCTGCAAATTACTTTAGTTTCTCCTTTATAAAAGCAGCTGGTTCTCCAGCCCAGGTATACTGGGTAGGGACAGGTGAGGGTGTGCAGTGGGGGGGGCCTTGTGAGGGCTACCTTATGATTGTAACTGCATTTTAATCACAAATTAGATGGATGGATGGATGGATGGATGGATAGATAGATAGATAGATAGATAGACCTACATATAGATAGACACTAAACTCTATCTATATTTAGTGTACACCTGCACACTATTACCTTGATCAGTTGATATTAGGGTTCAGCACTGACTTGGCACTTGATTATTTTTCAAGGTCAATAACTGAATACTTGGGCTGTCTTTAACAGCATCAATAAGTATTTAGATCATTTTCATTGCTACGAACAGCACTGCTTCTCCAGGCTGCCTCTCAAGCTGCATTCATCTCCTATCTCTATTTTACATTCTCAGCTCCCTAGGCCAGAAGTTTCAGTTCTGAGGTTTTTAGTACTTAGCACCATGGGATCCTTCTCCATAGCTATTTAATGCTACGGTTTTGCTACTAGTAAATAATGATGATCATCACTTTTGATTCCATATCACAGGATTCTCCTCACGTGTTCTGAGAATGCTCCATTTGGATGATTGCTGTGAAGGCCAGTACTTAGCAGGTTATGTTTTCTTCCAGTTTGCCCACGGCACAATCTATTATTAGAGCACATATTCAGCCTTCATGTGCCTTTTCATGCATAGCAAAGAGATTTCTTTTCTCCACTGTTAGCACCATTAATGATACCCTTCTGATCATGGGGTGTGAACAGCATCACTAAACTGCCTTGCAAGTGCAGGTGTAAAGGGTTTTTTTCTGTTGTACATATGGAGAAATTATACATTACACAACGAAAATGAGGTATAAGCTGTGAGCAGAAATTGGAAAGACAACACAGAGAGCTAGATGATCATTGTAGCCTTCCCACTGAACTATTCTATTCTGAGCTATGCCTGCTTGCTGCAACTTACTCAACTCTTCTTCAAGACAAAAGTTGCTTTTCCAACTCAGTGGATGAAAACCCCATCCTTGCTGGGACACTTTTTTAGCAAGTCTGCTGGTATAGTCACAAACCAACGAAGGTCTCCTTTAGAGATGTTAACTTGGACTCCTGAACTGCAGTCTCCAACCTCTCAGGAAGGCCTTTTGGGATGCAAGTGAGACTTTGTTTAGGGGTTACAGTGGGGTTTTGACACCCATTCTGGCAAGCATAGGTCCTGAGGGCTGGTCCCTCACACTTGTGTACAATTAGTCTCCCATTTTTAAATATACCTTTCTAGCATCACACACCTGCACCTCTGTGTTTGCTGTGTTACTCTGCAGCAAAGGGAGCTGGGTTAGAAAATGAGGAGAGCATTAAGGAGAGGGAATTATGTGAGGCTGCCAGACAAAAAGTCTGAGGTCTGACCTTCATTTTTCATGGACCACAACAGAAAACAAAATGCTGAATTGTGACAGTCCTGTGAAAAGTAATTTTTCCTTTCAGAAATAAGATCAAAAGGGGAACCATTCCTAGTAAATTAGGACTGGAGCAATAAAGTCAGCTGCTTGGATGGGATAAGCAGCAGGTCTGGTAAGATAACATGCAGAGTATAGCTCTGTGTAGGTAATGCTGATGACACCTATCTTTGAAGCCATGGTTACCTAGTGCCCACCTCTCCTATTTAATGCTACGGTTTTGCTACTAGTAAATAATGATGATCATCACTTTTGATTCCATATCACAGGATTCTCCTCACGTGTTCTGAGAATGCTCCATTTGGATGATTGCTGTGAAGGCCAGTACTTAGCAGGTTATGTTTTCTTCCAGTTTGCCCACGGCACAATCTATTATTAGAGCACAGATTCAGCCTTCATGTGCCTTTTCATGCATAGCAAAGAGATTTCTTTTCTCCACTGTTAGCACCATTAATGATACCCTTCTGATCATGGGGTGTGAACAGCATCACTAAACTGCCTTGCAAGTGCAGGTGTAAAGGGTTTTTTTCTGTTGTACATATGGAGAAATTATACATTACACAACGAAAATGAGGTATAAGCTGTGAGCAGAAATTGGAAAGACAACACAGAGAGCTAGATGATCATTGTAGCCTTCCCACTGAACTATTCTATTCTGAGCTATGCCTGCTTGCTGCAACTTACTCAACTCTTCTTCAAGACAAAAGTTGCTTTTCCAACTCAGTGGATGAAAACCCCATCCTTGCTGGGACACTTTTTTAGCAAGTCTGCTGGTATAGTCACAAACCAACGAAGGTCTCCTTTAGAGATGTTAACTTGGACTCCTGAACTGCAGTCTCCAACCTCTCAGGAAGGCCTTTTGGGATGCAAGTGAGACTTTGTTTAGGGGTTACAGTGGGGTTTTGACACCCATTCTGGCAAGCATAGGTCCTGAGGGCTGGTCCCTCACACTTGTGTACAATTAGTCTCCCATTTTTAAATATACCTTTCTAGCATCACACACCTGCACCTCTGTGTTTGCTGTGTTACTCTGCAGCAAAGGGAGCTGGGTTAGAAAATGAGGAGAGCATTAAGGAGAGGGAATTATGTGAGGCTGCCAGACAAAAAGTCTGAGGTCTGACCTTCATTTTTCATGGACCACAACAGAAAACAAAATGCTGAATTGTGACAGTCCTGTGAAAAGTAATTTTTCCTTTCAGAAATAAGATCAAAAGGGGAACCATTCCTAGTAAATTAGGACTGGAGCAATAAAGTCAGCTGCTTGGATGGGATAAGCAGCAGGTCTGGTAAGATAACATGCAGAGTATAGCTCTGTGTAGGTAATGCTGATGACACCTATCTTTGAAGCCATGGTTACCTAGTGCCCACCTCTCCTAGCCTGAAAACAAGAGGGCAGCCTAAGTGTTATTGAAAGGGCTGGAGTCCCTCTCTGGGGCCTTGTTGAGACCATTTTTTCTCCAGTCTCCTACTCTGCGTGCCAGGCAGAGCCTCCTCTTGTACAACAAAGCAAAATGGTGTTGCACATGTTTAAGTCCAGGAGTATCTGTGGGTTTGGTGCATTTATTTCTCAGTGTGGGTTGTTCATATATTCAAGAATATGTGATATATATGATCAGAGAAAAAGGGACATGTAGCTACATCTGTGAATTGAGGGGCTGGACACTAGTAGCAGCTGCAGATACATCTTTGAGTGTTTCCTTAGGACTTTGTGAACATAAACAGATTACAAGTAGGTAAAAAATAATTCAACTCTAATTCTAAGTTCTGAAATGCTCTTAAATCAATGCATACACAGCAGGGCATTTTCCAGAGCTGAATGGTGTGATACAAGGTAGTCTCCTGCTTCAAAGGTGTTTGATGGGCTTAAAGCAGCTGAGTGGGCAGACACAAAAGGGTTAAGCATCTCTCTTGGAGTCAGTTTGTGAGCAGCTTTGACAGTTCATGAGTGTAACCATGAAATTAATTCTTGCCAGGGAAAACAAACCACAGACAAAGCCACTCATACACCAACTAGTCACAGTTTGCAAGGTTAGCTAAAGTTTATCAAAATCCCCAGACAAAAAATGTCATTAAGATACAGTTAAGGTTATAGAGAGATACCAATTCCCAAGCAAGAAACTTCATTAAGGTACAGTCAAGATTGTAAACATATGTGCCAATTAAATTTAAACAACAAGATCCAAACACAGTCAGTATTTACCATGTTAAATATTTGGAAATTAAAAGTTACTGATAGAGATAACATGGTTTCAATAAAATTCATAATCATGTTTCAACAAACTCAACTTACGCTGCTCTTCAGTATTACCTTACCTTTTGTTTTGAGTTGTGATGCTCCTTGCCATGGGATACTATGAGAGCTAAAAAGTTCCATGGACTCAAAGAATCTTTCACAGCTTTGTGAAGTAAAAAGCCAACTGTGGATATTGACAGCAAAGCAGGCACCCTTTATTCTGGAGTACCCTGAGTCACAGGTTCTAGAGACCTGGAGAGTATTCTGGGGAAAAACTCTTTTAACTTGCCTTGTTCTTCTCTAGGTCTGGAAAGATCAGATTGGCCACTCAGAGACAGGCTGTTAGGGTGGATGGTCCTTGAAGCAATGTCACTGTCATCACCACCTTCCCCACAGCCACAGCATGACAGAAGACTTGACCTTGTGTACAAGGAGGCCAGGACAAGCCATGCAATGTCTTAGAAAATGCAGGATGGAAAACATGGCATGAACTGTGAAATCCCTACAACTAAATTTCAAGGAAAGGATTTAGAAGGGACACTGTCTAATAAACACATTGTTAGGCCCCTGAGATATTCCTTAACTAGTTTTCCTTATCATATTGTTGTGAACATTGTCTTTTCTCTTTCAGCCTCAATAGTGATTGGAAAATGGTGGTGTGAGATGGAGCCCTGCCTAGAAGGAGAGGAGTGTAAGACATTGCCTGACAATTCAGGATGGATGTGTGCCACTGGCAACAAAATCAAGACCACCAGAGTAAGTCATCTTTCTGTCTATACTTAGGAGCTCTTTAATAGAAAATGGAGTCACTAAAAATTGCTCACATATACCTTATCCACCATCATATCTGCTGTAAAAGTCTAATTACCACTGCACACCTCCTCACCCACCCAGCACTTTAGGCCATAATTCAGTGAAAATTTGCATGGATTTAGGCTGAGTCCAGGCTTGGTAACTTGGAGCTGCTGAATCATCAGGTCACTTTCTTACACACATTGTCACCTCAGACAAAAAATTAGTCCACATCCCTTCCAGCAAAAGAAGGGAAGAACATTAGATGGAAGGGATCAGCTGGATCCTAGATCCATTCTTTGGCTGTTCCGGGCAACATCTGTATTAGCAGCTGAGCTGTGTTTTGTAGCTGAGGACTCAAACCTGCATTTCAGGTCTTGCTTCAGAGCAGCTCTAGCCTCTGGCACCCTTTAGTGAAATATTCTTGAGATGCTGAACGCTGAGATTTTACAGGAAAAGAGGTGACAACAACTTTCACCATGCATTGCTGGGAAAATGCAGATATAGAGCTGCAAAGACAGAGATCATGAATGAGCTGGCTAAACTTCTCCTACTAGGAGATTATCTTTGGAAAGGGGAAAAGTATTTTTCAAATATAGGTTCTAGTTTTTCTTTTGCATTGTGCAATCGTTTCACAACCACTTTCTTTAAGCTGCCATCTATACCTGTATTTAAAAATTGTAATTAATTTTTTTTCCAAGAAAATTACATGGTTGTCAAGTCAAAATATTTTTTATAAATGGACACATTTTGTTTCTCAGTGAAGTGGAAAATAAGTTTTGAACCTGCTAAATGAAAAATAAGCACATTTCCAAGACATCTTTCCCTGTTTATTAGGAAGTTTTACATACACATCCCCAGCTACTGATTCACAGGGATGTGAAGTTTAGTGTTATGATTTCCTGACTTCTTCCTTTTTCTACAATCTTAATTCTAGTAATTTTTCATTTGTTCTAGGCTTTTTGTTGAAGGAGGTTTTATCCCAGCACTTTCTTAATTCTTTTCTTTCCCTCCATGTGGCTTATGCCAGCATGAACTATTTGTATTGCAACTCCAGTTTATTTGAAAGGTGCTTTCTGGCATGATTAATCTCCCCCACCACATTGAATTACCAGGATAACACAGGAGGTTTTCTTTGCAGAAGGCAGTAAGTAGCCTCTGAAAACACTTTGTCTCTTTGCCATGTGCCATAGCAAAGGAGAAAGCATCAAGGGAACTGTGATTCCTTGGCACAATTTCTTCCTGCAGTGTCTTTGCTGCTGCAAAGCACTCTGTGCTCACAACTGCAACATCACTGGAAGATTGTGCACTACTGTCTGTGCCTTGCAGGGCAATTAAAAAAACAAAACCAAAACCAAATCTACTGCATGTCCTTTTCAGTGAGGCAACATTTTTTTCTCACTGAATTAGTGATTTAGAATGGAAGAAAGTGATATTAAAGAAGTACTAAGCAAAAAGATTGTTATACTTTGGTTAAATTACAGTGAGTCAGTATTTCTGCAGTCTGTCTGCAAATGAGACAATTTAGGAACTGCCTTTTCTTTTTTCTGTCTAATTGTCCTGCTCTTAACTCCACCAATCCACATCATGTAAACTAGTTTCAGGTGATAGCCCGCATCTAGAAGTGACTGCTAGAAATGTAGCAGCTCCATTAATATGCAGATGGATGGTCCAATCTATTTGGTATGCATTGTTGTACTTCATTTCAATTAAATATGTACAGAGTGAGTGCTCATAACTGAAAAAAATATTTCTTCATTTACCCACAGGAGTTATTTTAATTATCTTGTGAGGGGAGTACCTTATGGTGCTGCTTCCAGTAGAATTTTGCTTTGTTGCTATAAAATATCATTACAGAACCCAATGGACAAAGGCAACATGACATGATGTGCTTAGCAACTGTCTCTTGCATTTTCAAAGCAAAAACTCTACTTCATAATCCCTGAAACTTTGCTTGAATCTGCACTGCTGCATCAAGCCTGGCAAAAGAAATATAAAATAATAGAAGCAATCAGATCCTGAAACAGGCATTTTGTTCTTTGTTTTGTCATTTCAGATGGCATCAGAGAAAGAGATTACACTATAATCTGTACTGACCCCAGTCCAGGCTGCAAGATTGAGCCATGTATGTCTAATTTATGTAGTTAAGGAAGTTAAGGAAGCAGAAGAAACAAGACAAATCAGTCAACGTCCTAGATAGATCTGTGGTGATTAGCCAAACAGCCAGAGCAAGTCACCATAGGCTGCAAACTGTTTTAATGAAGGCTTTTCCTTACACTATACACATTTACATTAGGCAGCTGCTGCCCTTAGATGAAAAAAATTTGCATTCATGACTCGCAGCATTAAAATATTAGTGTATTCTTCAAGGTCTGCAGTAAATCACATTGGAGCACGTGTGTATGTATATATAAATTAATTCCTGTATAGACACAATATATGTACTTTGACAATGCAGTGTATTGCTTCATGGTTGGTTCTCAGACATGATTGATACTAATTAGTGTCAGAAGAAGGTGCACAATGGATCCAGTTAAGGTTTTGCCAGCACATCCTCCATTCCTTCCTTTTCACTAGTTTATTCCACTGTTCAGTCCTTTAGCATAGCTCAATAATTAAGTTGTTAAAGCCAAAGATAAAAAGCTCACAGCCTATGTAAATTGATTTGTTTTCAACTGATGGTCAGAGCAGGTGACAAACATTGGAAAGAAATCATTTTGTAATTCAATTTTTAGAGCAGTTTCAAATGTGAGGCTCTTGGAGCTGTTCTAGGTCCTGGCTGGAGATCACATCTCTGTATTTCAGCAGAGCAACTGGCACCAGGGGAAACCCAAGAGCACAGGATCTGTCTGGATGCTGGGAGATGGTGCCCACATGGGCACATTAGTGCTTGTAAGAACCAGAGCTGCTAAAAACCATGAAAACATGAGTCTACATGCATCCTTTGTCTTGTCACTGCCCAGCTGACTGAGGGAGTCATTCAGAAGCTCTTGGCACTGGGCTGGTGTCTCCACACAGGTTTTCTGCTGATGTTGTAGAAAAAGGAAATTGAAGTGTTGAGCACTTGGGGACTGGCAGAGCAGCTCAGCTTGGATCATCTCCCCAGCTTCACAGCCTGTGTCCTCCATTTCAGCCTACCCACCCCCAGTTTCCAGAGTACCATTTGGTTCACCATACATTTTGCCATGAGAGAAATGCCATTTGACAGTGTCCCAGGGGACCTGAGCATCACATTTCTTAGCAGCCGGTGCTCATCACAGGCAGCAGCAAGTAGCACCTGAGGAGCCCTTGGCACTGTGGCCCTATATCATCCCCTGCTCCTACAACAGCCCCACAAATTCTTGAGGCAGGGTACAAGTGAGAAAGAGATGTATTCATCCCTGAGAGAAAAAAATCCAACAGAATAATTTGTCAGTGACAAACCAAAAGAGAAGTAAATGGGAACAGAGGGAAGGAAAGAAGTGGTAGATTAACTCAGAGTTTTATTTTCTTCTTTTAAGCTGTCCACTAATATGTCAGATGATTTCCAGATTTAGATTTTCTTTAGAGCAGTGAAGAAACCCCTCTATTTTTGTGATAACAATCTCTGTAATTAAGAGGTCAGTTCAAAGCAACAGAGCACAAGATAGTAAATATCTCTTGCTGGAAGACTTACTGCAGCAATTCATCATAGCACCTACTGCTCAGCTAATAATTTGTAGCCCTGATTTAATGCCTGAGCCTGCTCGGATTCAAGTCCATTTGAGTTTCATTGCTGGTCTAGTCACCTAGCAAAGGGTTGGACCTCTCCTGCCATTCAGCTGTGTATCAGTGTAAGAAAGAAACAAAAGCTTCTCTAAGAGAGCTATTTTCACTTCTGGTCAGTCATTCTTTTTTCAACATCCTAAAAAAGCCCCTGGGCGGTCGCATTTCCTCCTCAAGCCATTAGTGCTCTCACTTAGACCAGTTGTGGTATCAGTCATAAGCAGCAATGGGTTTATGGGCTGTTGCAGAGTGAGTTATCTGAGTTATCTCACCCCAGGTGAGTGGATGAAGTCAGTCAGACTTTCCAGCTAGTCACACCTGCTCCTCTTTGGGTAAGTGGATTGGTGGGGGGTCCAAATGAACCTGAAAGGTGGATCCGTCTGCATGTCTTTGTTGAGCAAAAGCTCCTAGCATCAGTCTGAGATGGGGAGGTGAGCATGGCCCCATGCCTGAAGCTGTCCTGGCATCTCCTGCACCACCAGCCCAGGTGACAGGTGCTCACCCAGGACCTCCCCAAGCTCCAGCAGGAGCTCGCTCAGGATCTGCCTCGTGCAAGTCCGTAAATCCCTGCAACCCCAACAAACAAGAACCCTCCCAAATTATTGCCATTTAACATTGCAGGGCGAAGTGGCATGAAGCCTGAGTGTCTCTTTCCTCTCCTAGTGTATTTTATAGAACTGACTCTTTCACACTTTCTTACTGCAGATCCACCCAAGGACCTAACAGAGTCTGCATGGAGGCAGTGAAAGCCCTGCTGATTTATGAGGACAAAGTATTGGAAATTCAAAACCATCTCAGCATTTACAAGCCAAATGGATTTCTTATTTGCACTTTGACTATTTACCGGATAACAACAGTGGTTTACTGTGTGAAAGGAAGTATTCAGTGGAAATAATGCCCCTGATTTTTGACAGCTGAAAATGAAAAGGAAGAAAATTGTTCTTTTGGTAAAGTTTCCAAGATTGCAAAGTACAAACAACAGTACAAGTTTGGATCTACAATTTACTTTATACCAGTTTAAGTATATATATATA